CCCGACCAAGGGTCGAGGATGCGGCAAATCGAAAACAAACACCTCTTCGTCCCATGGGCCCAGAACAACAGCTCAAGAACCTTGGCTCCAATATGGCTTAATGGAGGGCATCTACAAGATACGCACCAAGTACCGATACTGCTTGTGGTGCAACAACGATGTACACTACACCGCGAATTGCCCAACGAATGCCAAGGGAAAATCCCATTGGGGAAAGTGAGTACCGCCGAGAGTGAAACGGCTGCACTCTCGACGCCTTCGGAACCGGTTGCTTGACGAGCAACCTCTATTAGTTCCGAGGCACATGCGGAAGTCGAAATTCCTCTTCTTTATTCTTTTGAGGACTATGCTGCCCTGCTCGTTCCATCGCAGGGTTTGCTAGCTCAAGGACAAGGTGTGTGCACGGTTTCATCTCCATCCGGTAGCGGTGCTAGTTCGTTTTCTTCAAGTGATTCTTCAAGGGACTTGGCACGCAAGTTCAACATGAAGGTGTTGGACCCGTTGTCGCCTGAGAATTGTGCATGGCTTCCTCTCCCTTCCACGGGCTGCTTACCGGATCTGGAATGTGCAGCACTATGCGCCCATTTGCACACATATTTGTCCTTCTATGCACCACCAACTTCGCCGACGGATGATGAAGTTGCAGTGGGGGACCTCTTGCTTATATCACCAAGGTGGCCCGTGAGTTTCCAACGCAGCCGACGACAATAATGAACCGCTTCTTTATGTCCGCATCCAAGTTGGGCAAATGTCTTGCAGCGTTTGCTGGATAGCCGCGAGACTCGCAATTTCATGAGTCATTCCTTTATACAAAGGATTGGCCTTGGCGCACAAGTTCCAAGGAAGCAACATCCTACGACGGTCAAGATGCCGAACGGTCGTACGCAACAACTTTTTGATCGCTACATCGAGGCCGTGCCGGTTTATTTCGCACCACATGCATGCGAGCCGGTCATGTTTGACGTCTTAGACACGGACTTTGACGTCATTTTGGGGATGCCTTGGTTCGCAGGTGTGGATCACACGGTCAACTTCCATCAGCAGACACTTACCATTCGCGATGCTTTCGGCGCCGAAGTCTTGTGCACTATTCCTGTTCCACACCTTTCGATCCAGTGCCAAGTTGTGACGGGCAAGTCTTTTCGTCCCACTTGCGCTTATGAGTGGACCGACGAGATCGACCTTTGTTTTCTTCGGACCGTCGCGGCGACCGAATAATCATCTACAGACTTGTCTTCGGACGACCGCATGGTGCCGTTGCTTGACGAGCTCGCCGACGTCTTTGAGTCTCCTAGTGCCGGATCGACTGATCTCCCATGAGATCATCCTTGACGCCGGTGCAGTGCCGTCGAAAGGTTACATCTATCGCATAAGTGAGGAAGAGCTCGTGGTTCTCTGCACGCAACTCGATGACTTGTTGGATAAGGGTTGGATCCACCCTAGTAGCTCACCATACGGTGTGCCAGTTCTCTTCGTATGGAAGAAGAACAAGGATCTTCGCTTGTGGATTGACTATAGCAAGCTGAACGCCCAAACTGTCAAGAATGCGTGGCCTTTTCCTCGTATTGACGATCTTTTTCGAAGTTGGACTTGAAGTCGGGCTTGCACCAAAGTTCGATACGCCCGCAAGATCACTACAAATCTGCGTTTAAGATGCAGTACGGGCATTTTGAGTGGATTGTCATGCCTTTTGGACTCACCAATACCCCAACGACTTTTCAAGCGACAATGACCAATTAGTTATGCGCGATCTTGGACCGGTTTGTGCTGGTCTACTTGGACGACATTCTCGTCTACAGCCAGACCTTGGTACACTTTTCCTATTGCAGCCATAAGGCTGACCGTTGGTTGACCCGTGCGGAACTTCAGGCTACCACCCTCGACGTCGTCACATGTTACGAACGCAAATAGCAAGGCAAGCCGACACCTTTGGCTCCGCGTCGTGCTTGCATCCAGGTTCCACCATCGGAGCGTCAGCTTCGCTGTCGACCCGGCTTAACTTCCTAAGGAGGGGGGGGTGTTACATGTTGAGCCTGCACACGGGCCCCATTTCGGGGGCCCGACTGTTGTTGGGGCCCCCCAGGCCGCATGCCATTCAGGCATGCGCCCTGGAGGCCCACGGCCGACCTAAGGGCCACAGGATTCGATTTAAGGAAGCATTCATTTGTTTATTTATTTATTGCTGTCCTGATTTTGTCTGTTCATTCGTCGTTTCGGACTTGCAGTTCGTCCGAACAGAATTTCGGTCTGTTCAGACGAAGGCCACGTTTTGGGCCTTCTTCGTTCGCAGTCAGGCCGTTTTGGGCCGGGTTCGTGTTTGTCCAGTAGCGGAAGCTCCTGCTGCATCAGCAGGGAGGGCCTGGACGTCCGGTAGGGACCCAGGCAGGCTGTTTCTGGCCAAGGACCAGAGGCATACCAGCGAGGCCCGATGCTACTTATAGCTGGGCCAGGCCAGGGCAGACACACAGTTCGAGTAGCTCACTTCTTGGGCGACACGATGTTGGAGCAGCATGACACAGCGCTGCACTAAGGTGTATAGGTGTAGGTAGGAGGTGAGGCGGAGGCCATACCTGCATCGGCGGTACTTACCTGGGCGCCATAGCTGGACTCCACGCCAGCGACCTGCACAGAGAGACACGCCGACTGCAGTTAGTACATTGCGGCAGTTATCTGCAGGTGAGACATCGAGGAGGACGACATCTTCTTCTCCTTCTTAGTCTCGCCCTCCATCTCTTCTTCCTCCTCCTCCTTCTTTTTCTTCTTCTTCTTCTTCTTCTTCTTCTTCTTCTTCTTCTTCTTCTTCTCTTAGATAGATAGATAGAGAGAGAGAGAGAGAGGTTACAAGCAGAGGTTACATCGGGCCATGAGGCCCAGGATCTGATTGGACATTTTTTTGTGGCAGACGTTGATTGGATAATCGGCAGGGAGACTATTTTTGGACTTTGCTATTGCGATCTTGGTCTTCTCCCTCATCTCAATCTTCGTCTCGCCTCTTCCCCCCATCTCCTCATCCGTGGTATCTCCCCATTTGCGTGCTCAAGGAGGGGCCTTTCTTCGATGTATGCGGCCCCTCCCCTTCCTCTCACACGTGTGGTGTATGATGGGGTGTAGCGTCAGGATCTGACAGGTCAGGTCATATCTTTGAGTCTTCCATTGCGCTACATTGTGCTATTTTCATATGTATCTAGATGTATATTGCTTGTTGATGCTTCGCTGATGCTGCATTGTCCATTCGAGTCATTCTCATCACTTTGCAGATCCTTGGCTCCATATACATCGCCCGATTTAGCATGTATCAAGGGGTCTCGGGATCAAGTCCCGGCAACTGCAAAACAGGAAATTAGTGTACAACTCGCAGAGAGGCACTTCAATTCATTGCAAGCGGGTTGACTTTGACCTTTGTGCCCGGAATCCCGTGCTGGGATTGACTGTTGACTTTGCAAAAGTCAACTGCCGCTCGTAGGGCCACTGAATGCTGTTCTGGCCCTGGCCTGGGCACCCCTTGCCCTCTTTTAGGCTTTTGCCCAGGCTTTTCGCAGAATTAGGGCGCGACTTTTGACCCCTGTTTCGGGCCTTTGACCAAAATGAGGACCTATAGCCCACGGCTTATGCGGATTTGAGCTGAGTTATTGCAAGATTGGCAACAACTTAAAAAAACACTTCAAAAATGATGCAACAACTTAAAAAAACACTTCAAAAATGATTAGCAAAAATGATTTCCAATGCTTTTCTGACCCCATCAGAGTGTAAAGTTGCCATGAGCCATTCTCTTCTCCGATGAATGACGCAGAGTGTGTGGGGGGGGGAGAGGCATTCCTTTCTGAGGGCAAGTGGGGTTGATTGACTTAAATCTTGTTGTGCTCTCACCTATGATATTAGCACTTCCTTTGGCTAGAACTCTGGCAGTAATATTGACAAGTAGTGTAATTGAGCAGTAAGGATGTGACATGCCTGTGCAATCCATAGATGGCCAGTTTGGGATGTGCAATAAGTTAATAACTCAGCTCAAATATGCCCCAGACGCTGCCGTGGGTTGTCACTTCTGGTCCAGGGCCAGAAACGGCCTTCCGAGGCCGAACGTGAAACAGTTGACCGTTGGAAAGTCAACAGTTGACCTCAGCTCTGAATTCAGACCCACGAGTCAAAGTCCACACGCACCCAGCCCCTGCTGGTGTACATTCAGTTTTGCACATGCTGCTTGACGCTGGCTTGACGCTGGCTTGATGCTGGCTCTACGCTGGCTTGACATTGGACGGTGACGCAGGACTGCTATTGATTTCCGCTGGCACCTTTCTTCTGTCTGAGGCGCCAGCTAGATGCTTGATTATGCTGATGTGGCTCATGCCACACTGATTACGACATTGATGGAGATCGGACGAGGAGGAGGAGGATTGACGAGCTTTCCACTTGCAATGACTGGATTCATTGCAGATGCATGTGACCGCAATTTTGCACGGCATTCAGTCACATTTTTGCTCTACCATGAGTCCAACTTGAGTCTGCTAACAGGTGACTGAATTTAGAGCAAATATTTGACTGAATGAAGTGCTGAAATGCGTCCAGCTGCGCCCTGAAATTGCGTTACAGCTTCCTCCCACCCCAATGTCGAAAGCACTCCTCGCTCTCTGTGTGTGTGTGTGTGTGTGTGGGGGGGGGGGGGGGGGGGGGGGGAGAGAGAGAGAGAGAGAGAGAGTGAGAGAGAGAGAGAGAGAGAGAGAGAGAGAGAGAGGGGGGGGGGGGGGGGGGGGGGGGGGGGGGGGGGGGGCGCGTGTGTGACACAACACTGGAGATCCACTCTCTGACACAGCCTGATACACAGCTTGCTTCAACAAACAATCCAGTGTTTCATGACAAACCATAATGGACATAATCTTCTTTCTGGAACTGAAGGCCCCTGTGCTGCGAGGATAACAAACACAAATTGAGTACAGTCCTTTCCTTCCGTCTTGTCTGGCAGACGTGCATTCCAGAGACGAGCGCCCGGACATGGAACAGAGATGCCGACTTCTGCTATGGTATAATTGCATGGACGGATCTGCTTCATATTAACTCCAAAAAACATGGAAAGGGGATTTCGAAGAGTGTGGGTGAGTAAGCCCTAAACCCTAAACCCTAATTTAAACCTTAGACCTTAAACTCATAACCAAAAATTTGCTGCATACTACTGTCTTCCCCCGAATGTAACACACCCTGATAATGAATATATAGAACCTCTCTCTCCGGTCCTGTGCAACCATAATGAGGCTGCGTTATGATCAGGGGAAGACGGCAAGTTGGAGTTTGGTGAAGTAGAGTTCTGTGGCTTTTCGTGGCAGTTACTCTACAGGGCCTGCATCTGTTGAATGCTCCAATATCTGAAAATTAATGTAGTGTGAACACTGTGAAGCCACGATTGCATCTTTTTGCAGCCAACCAGTCGCTGCACCACAAATACAATCCAACTGGCATCATCCAGTTTGGGAGATTGAAATCAGTCCACGGGGATTTGTTGCAGTTAGTGTATAGGATTTGCATGTGTTGAGACGTTACATATCCGACATGTAGTCAAGTTGTGAAATCACATGCGCCTTTGTCAACACCCTTTCAAGTCATGATCAAGCAGCATCCATCACAAGGAAGAGCTGAAATTTTTAATTTTCCCTCTGAGAAAAAAATCTTTAAAAAAGTAAGTTCAGGTCGTGAGGACTCTCAGGAGTGCCTTTAATTGCTCTTTGGAACACTGCTGGTCCCCGGATGGTCCGGGGGGGCCTTCCACGTCCAGGAGCCTGCCAATCCTCAGGCCGCCGGTCCAGCCCAGCGCATGACGGTGGGGGGGGAGTACCGGGGATTTCAAGGCGTCCGCGTGCCCACCCAGCCTCCAGGAGGCCGCCGCGTGCCCGCCCAGCCTCCAGGAGGCCGCCGCTGCGTCACAAAAAAAAAACAAGGCCTATAGGACCCTGGAATTTGAAAGAACGTGCGGCGGATCTCCACCGCTGATCATCGGAGATCGGCGGTGAAGATCCGCCGCATGAGCTTTCAAAATTTTGGGGTCCTACAGGCCGTTGTTTTCAAATTCAAAAATGCGAGCCTGCCGGCCTACAGCCGCCCTGCTCCTGCCCACCGCCGCAACCCCAACCACGGGAGGCTACGTCTAGGTTGACGTCGCGCTCATTCGAGCGGACATGAACTTTGACCTGCGCCAGCCCGCCACCTTTGGGCTTGCCATTGCCATCGCCACGCCGCAGAGAACACGCCGCCCATTGCCTCGAAGCCACGCGAGGTAAGTTTAGGTTTTCTTTTTTTTCCGTTCTTCTTCTCCTTCTTCTTCTTCTTCTTCTTCTTCTTCTTCTTCTTCTTCTTTCTTCTTCTTCTTTCTTCTTCTTCTCCATCTTTTGTCCTTCTT